GTGAGAGCTATTGAGCACAAGAACCTGGAGAGAATTGTTTTAAATATTGGCACTTTTTGGCGGAAGGGATTTTATTCAATAATAACATTTAGCGTAGGAAGGCCAAATTTTATGTAACAAACAAAATTGTTTGTACTACTTTATTGTAACACTAAATAAACGTGTAAAGGTGGTTCAAACCCTGCTCTATTCCTGTGGCTCCACACAGACACAGCGCCCCAGTCCTGTGGCTCCACACAGACACAGCGCCCCAGTCCTGTGGCTCCACACAGACACAGCGCCCCAGTCCTGTGGCTCCACACAGACATTGCTCTCCAGTCCTGTGGCTCCACACAGACATTGCGTTCCAGTCCTGTGGCTCCACACAGACATTGCGCTCCAGTCCTGTGGCTCCACACAGACACAGCGCCCCAGTCCTGTGGCTCCACACAGACATTGCGCTCCAGTCCTGTGGCTCCACACAGACACAGTGTCCCAGTCTTGTGGCTCCATATAGACATCGCGCCCCAGTCCTGTGGCTCCACACAGACACAGCGCCCCAGTCCTGTGGCTCCACACAGATACTGTGCTCCAGTCCTGTGGCTTCACACAGATACTGTGCTCCAGTCCTGTGGCTCCACACAGATACTGTGCTCCAGTGTACTAGCTCCAACTATATCCAGTCAGCCAGTGTCAAGGAGATAATACTGGGGGGCCGGAGCTGATAGAACAAAGGCAACAGACGGCTGCCCGACTTTCAATTAAAACAGGAGGAGGATGTCCCCCCTTCGCAGCACGTGGCGGATCTTCCGGGTGGAGGATGTCGAGGGGTTAGTTAGGTTGGGTTAGACAGCCTTGATGGATCTGGGAGGGAGCGGGGTTAGCACTAATTTGGCGTACGTTGTTTGTGTGAGGTTGGGGTAGACGAATCTATTGTGTGTGTGAGATTGGGTTAGCAGAACCCGTTGTTTGTGTGAAATTGTATTAGAAAAACCCGTTGTTTGTGTTAAATTGTATTAAAAGAACCCGTTGTTTGTGTGAAGTTGTATTAGAAAAACCCGTTGTTTGTGTGAAGTTTTATTAGAAGAACCCGTTGTTTGTGTGAAGTTTTATTAGAAGAACCCGTTGTTTGTGTGAAGTTGTATTAGAAAACCCCGTTGTTTGTGTGAATTTGTATTAGAAAAACCCGTTGTTTGTGTGAAATTGTATTAGAAAAACCCGTTGTTTGTGTGAAGTTATAATAGAAAAACCCGTTGTTTGTGTGAAATTATATTAGAAGAACCCGTTGTTTGTGTGAAGTTGTATTAGAAAAACCCATTGTTTGTGTGAAATTATATTAGAAGAACCCGTTGTTTGTGTGAAATTATATTAGAAGAACCCGTTGTTTGTGTGAAGTTGTATTAGAAAAACCCGTTGTTTGTGTGAAATTATATTAGAAGAACCCGTTGTTTGTGTGAAATTATATTAGAAGAACCCGTTGTTTGTGTGAAATTATATTAGAAGAACCCGTTGTTTGTGTGAAATTATATTAGAAGAACCCGTTGTTTGTGTGAAATTATATTAGAAGAACCCGTTGTTTGTGTGAAGTTGTATTAGAAGAACCCGTTGTTTGTGTGAAATTATATTAGAAGAACCCGTTGTTTGTGTGAAGTTGTATTAGAAGAACCCGTTGTTTGCGTGAAATTATATTAGAAGAACCCGTTGTTTGTGTGAAATTATATTAGAAGAACCCGTTGTTTGTGTGAAATTATATTAGAAGAACCCGTTGTTTGTGTGAAATTATATTAGAAGAACCCGTTGTTTGTGTGAAATTATATTAGAAGAACCCGGCTTTATAACTCCCCCAGTAGAATGTCAGGAAGCTGCCCTTGTACTGACGAAAACGCCCGAAATCATGGTAGACAGGTTCGAATTCTTTTTGAAAATGGTATCTCTCAAAATTGGTATCGCTACCATCAAGTGCTGGCATGCTTCAAACGCGCACGCGGCAAATTTCTCACTGATTCATGGGATTGCTTGGGGGCAGTGAGTCATCCCAAATTGTTGGGTTTAAGATAGAGAAAGTGCGATGTCGTTTAGTGATTCGCTTTTTTTCTTTAGGATGGGAAAACGTCAGAAGAAATATAAACAACGCTAGATGCCGTTTATGGCAACCATTCACCATCCATGACTACAGATAGATAGATATCAGTATATTTGATGAGGGTGGTCCACCAGATGTGGTTGCCGTGGAGATTATAGAAAAATCTTCGACATGATTCTCTCAGACCGACTGAAAACAATGTGAAATAGGTGTGCCAAGGGGAACGGCATTTAATAGTATTGACAAAAATTGCAACTAGAAATTAAATTTACTAGGGCCTAAAGTAGGAGTAACTTAACACACAGAAAAGCGTACACTCAAGAGTACAACACCAATAACAAAAAGGAGGTAAATAAAAACTCACGATTTGTTAAATGAAATAAAAAAAACAGTACTTATCTTTTATTGTAGTGTTGGTAGCGATTAGACCGGGGTTACACAGATATGCGAGGAGATCACCAGACACGGATAAAGCACACAGAGAACACTTTAAGCGTCTCCACACAATCATTCATCACACTGGCCTCCTCGCATTCCCTATGAACCCTCTTATATACAAACATGGCCACATTAGTCCAATGAGAAGGCGTGAGAGATCGGTTCACTTAACAAACGAATACAACATTCTTACCGCTAAAAAAACTTACATAATAAAACTGCAAATGTTTGTCAATGTAATTTGACAGTATTTATACGTGAAAGGTTCGAGATTCCAAAGTTATCGACCCAATTGGTCGGTGTTTGGAACAGTTTAAGCCAGATCCAAAGGATTTTTTTTATAAAGTTGTGACCGTCGATGAAACCTGGATAATTATTGTATTCCAGAAATCACCCAACGATTAAAGCAACATTTGTTTCCAGGGAATCAGCATTTGATAGTATTTATACGTGGAAGGTTGGAGATGCCAAAGTTATCGACCCAATTGGTCGGTGTTTGGAGCAGTTTAAGCAAGATAAAGTTGTGACCGTCGATGAAACCTGGATAATTATAGAACTTCAGAAATCAACCTTAGATCCAAACAACTGATGTTTCCAGGGAATCAGCTCCAAAGAAGGCCAAGATGGTCTCATCTGCCGGAAAATTTAAGGCGACGATTTTCGGGATAGGGAACACTATAGACTTTTTACAGAAGTGGGAATTATCACTACACCTCAGTAATAAGACCGCTTTGACTAGAAATTGAAGGAGGCACGGCTCCATTCGGGAAGGTAAAAAGGGGATTTTTCACGATGACAAGACACATTTATCTGAAGTTGTCGCAGCCAAATTGCATGAACGGCTTCCTACTACTCGTATTCTACGACCTGCCCCATGTAATTTCTACTTGTTCCCAAACATGAAGAAATGACTAGCGGGAAAGAAATTTGGCTTAAATGAGGAAGTCATCGCTGAAATGCAAGGGTATTTTGGAGACCTCGTTAATTCCTTTTTTTTTTTTTTTAGGGAAAAAAAATGGCAGTAACGTTGGGAAAAAACTATGCTGTAAACTAAATAAATAGTTTTTTTTATGATATTTCATTTCTAACACATTTTGGAATGTCCCCATGTGTAAGGGGCCAATTGTGGATAGTAGTGCTCCAATAACTTTTGTGGGAGAAGCCTTTTAACAAGAAGTATCATAATTCAAAACTATTTTAAAGGCGTAAGATTCTTTTTGATATTAAACAAAACAGTATCATAACCTGTTGGGAATAAAAGGAACAGTTGGGTAAGATATCTAATGATAATCGTGAGAACTAGAAGCTTGATTTGCAAAGGCCGTTAGGAAGCAGCATTGATGATGCTAGCTGAGAAAGTAATCATTTTGATGATATGGAATCATCCACTACTGATGATAAACTCCGCCTTTGCCGGTCCCAAGTCCGGATGAAAAAGGAGGAGGGGGAGCAGTAACAAGTTCACTAAAAAACCTGGGCTCAGCTGGCCTGGCTGATAGTACCCTTTAAGGGCTCCTAATCCAAAGATACAGGATGAGCAGCTGCACATGGCGCCTGTTCCTGATGTCAAAGGCGGCCATTTCTTTCAAAGCTAAGTCGGCCTGCTACTGAGTGGCCTGTCACGCATTCTACTTCACCTAGTCATGATGGTTGTCACAACTTGATACCGTATTATGATTGAGTGGAGATAAGAAAGAAAAGGAAGAAGACTACTAAAGCCAAACATCATTATCTAGAGATAACCAATGGTGGTAGGAGGAGGCATGCATGTTCTACCAGCTTGATGACCCAGAAACAGGACATACAAGGTTGTCCCAAAAGTTTGTAAACACTTGCAAAAATTGAAATACCAATATTGTAACGTAGAAAATTAGAAGAGACTAACTTTAGGATGACACGGCAATTTATTTAGTGCATGCACAAAATCAACATTTATAAGATACAAGATAAGCAATGAGGAAGGTTTCCAGAGTAGCAAAATATAATAATCAAAATCAATAATCTGTATATAAAATATTATAAATACTTCTCTACAATATTATTCTCCGTTATGTATAATGTCTTTGTATTATGTATAAAGTAATTTATTATGTGTTATTATGTATTCGCCGTAATAATATTATTCGCCAAGTAATAAGAAAAACACGAACTTTTGGGACAACCTTATACTTAGAACAGAAGAACAGGAAGAGAACCGATACTGATGTTTATTATCTACACAATAATATAATTATGAAAAAGGCATCTCCTTATCATGCAAATGAAATTTGTACCAGTACAATTTTACATTTGTTCCATTTTATCTTAAATAATATAAACCTACGATTTATATGTATTTGTGTACAGTGGTAGGCTTCTGGTTATTAGCTAGCTCATTTATTCTTTACCATCACGTGACTTCAATTAATCAATCATCGTTCAGTGTTTTTATCTAGTGGTTATATCGGGTAACAACGCTCTATATAAAATGCTAGCAATAATATATCTAGCAATTTCGCGTATGGACATACCACATTGAAAACACCGGTTCTCGTCCAATCATCGAAGTTAAGCAACGTCGGGCCCGGTCAGTACTTGGGAGGGTGACCACTTGGGAACACCGGATAATGTAAGCTATTACCTTTTGGGCTCGAAAATCAAACACTTTGGTTAGTAGCCCGTAAAACTATATTCTCTCTCTATCTAGCAATGCGTATAACTTGGAATGCCACAATTCACAGTATATACGATATAATGATAGTTGTTTCAAATGAGATGAAAATATTCTTCCAAAAATATGCTTACTTGAGCGTAGCTTCCCTTTAACCCTTAGTTACTGGCGCCTATTTTCCTTACACAATTACTGGCGTTCGGCCTCTCAGGCCGTCTTTTAAAATCAATGTTTTGTTTCTGTTGAAGTTTGAGATTGAATCAAGGAATAAAAAGATTATTTATTAAACAAAGTAACTTAAAACAAGATGTTAAAGTAGCAACATTTTAAAGGCAAGTAGATATAGGAAGGCGAGAGACAAACACTATATATATTGACGTCGACCGCAGCGCCACCGCGGCCGTTGATTGGTTGATCCTCCAATGGTCCACGCCAATCTTTGGATCGCTATTCCAACACTCCCTCTCGATCCAAAATGTTCAGTAGACCTCTTAAGTAGTGGAATTTGTTTCGTGGAAGAGGTTTAGTCATTATATCAGCTAGCTGTTCTGAGCTGCAAACATGATGCACTTTAAGTTCACCTTCTTCATGTTTGGATCTAATGAAGTGGTAGCGAACATCAATATGTTTCGTTCGTTTGTGGAATACTGGATTTTCAACAAGTTTTATTGCTGCTTGGTTGCCGATATAAAGTTCAGTTTCTTTAGTAATATCACAGCCGATGCCCTGTAGAAGTCTTCTGATCCAAATCAATTCCTTAGCAGCACTGCAGGCAGCGATGTATTCACTTTCGGTGGTTGAAAGTGCGATAATTGGTTGTGGTTGGCTTGCCCAAGAAACAGTTCCTCCGTTCATCATGAAGGCATAACCAGTCGTACTTTTTCTGGAGTCAACATCACGAGCAAAATCACTATCAGAGTAGCCAACAAGTTGGTCTTGTCCAGTGAAGAGAATTCCCATGTGTGGAGTGCCTTTCAGATAACGGAAAATATTCTTCACTGTTGTACAATGTGCAGGTCCTGGATATTCTAGGAATTTACTCACTTGTGAAACTGCATAAGTGATATCTGGACGTGAAACACATGATGCAAACATAAGGGATCCAACAGCTTCTCGAAAAGGGAATTTAGGCATCTTTTCCTTTTGTTCTGGAGTAGGACAGTCCTGCTTTGTTAAGATGACAGAAGGATCCATAGGCACCGAAGCAGGAATACAGTCAGCCATATTAAATTTACTCAAAATTTTGTCAATATATGATGACTGGTGAATGAAAATACTTGCCCTATCTTCTGACTGCTCTATTTGTAGCCCAACAAAAAAGTTAACACTTCCAGATGTAATATCAAATGCGTGTTCTAACTCATCCATTATAATAGCTATTGACTCTTTATCTTTAGATAGAATAATTCCATCATCAACATCGAGAGCTAAGATAACATTTGAATCATTGTGTGTTCCAATGAAAATGCACGGGTCGGCGTCTGATGTTTTGAAATTATGGCTATTCAAAAAATTAGTAAATTTCTTATTCCAATTTCTAGAAGATTGTTTAAGACCATACAGACTTTTATGCAATCTATAGCAGCTATTATCATCTCTCTTGTAGCCTTCTGGTTGTTCAAGATAAACAAGTTCCTCTAATTCGCCATTGAGAAAAGCTGTCTTTACATCGAATTGCTTAAGAAACATCCTTTCAGAAGCAGCGTGTGATAAAAGAATGCGTAACGAATCATACCTGACTACTTGGCTAAACGTATCGAAATAGTCAACATTTTTGATTTGAGAATAGCCTTTTGCAACTAATCTGGCTTTGAACCGTTGAATTGTACCATCGGACTCCGTTTTAATTTTATAAACCCATTTACAACCGATAGGTTTATGACCATCTGCCAAACGTTCTAAAGTCCATGTTTTATTTTTATTTAATGCATCAATCTCTTCATCCATGGCTAATTTCCATCTTTCTGAATCTGAACTCGTTATTGCATCTATATAGTTACTGGGTTCATCAGCGAGCGCAAAGTTACATTGGCTATTCGAAACTTTAGAGCGTGTTATCATTGGATGCGAACTGATATCGGATACTGGCGGCATTTCCTGCACTGGAATGTTTGCTGTCGCAACTGGTGATTCATCCGGAGCGCTGTTAATCTGAAATATTATTTCTTTGGGTTTGGTAGATTCTCTATCTGAATGTGTAGTAGCTTTCTCATCGAATGTGACATCTTTAGAAATTCTTATTTTTCTAGTTTTCCAATCCCATAATCTAAAATTTTTGCTTGTATTCTCATAACCTAAAAACATAAGTTTTATCGATTTATTATCCCACTTTTTACGGTTTTCTTTGGGAATATGCATATAAGCATTACAGCCAAATATTTTATAGTTAGCTACATTAGGCTTTGTGCCAAAGAAAAGTTCATAAGGTGTCGTTCCAGGGGTTTGCTTAGTCGCACTTCTATTTAGAATAAAAGTTGCTGTGTTACATGCCTCAGCCCAAAAGAATCCTGGAAGATTTCGTGAATTTAGCATGGACCTGGCTGCTTCCACAATCGTACGATTGTCTCTTTCTATACGTCCTATCTGTTCGTGCACATAAGGTGCAGTGAACTCGTGAATTATCCCAAATCTTTTACATAAATCTGCAAAATTATCGCTTTTGAATTCTAGCGCATTATCAGTCCTAAGAACTTTTATCTTATTTCCAGTTTGAGTATAGATTAGAGTAGCATATTCTTTGAATATATCTAGCACATCTGATTTGTTTTTAATAAAATAAATATGGCGATAACCACTAAAGTAATCTTTAAATAAGCAGAAATACAGATATTTACTTAATGATTGAGTCTGCATTGGGCCACAAATATCAGCATAAATAAACTCACCTAGCTGGTAGTTTTTGCCATCTGAGGGATAGCACGACTTTCTATGGGCTTTTCCAAGTTGGCGTCCTTCACAGAAGAAAAATTCTCCCTCTAAATCTTGAGGCTGCAGACCATCCACCAATCCAACTGGAAGATGCGCAAGTCTCTCGTGCCACAACTGAAGCTTGTTCTCGCTGGTGATGTATCCTTGTGATGATGACGTAACCTTGAAGAGCATCCTGTAGAGGCCGTCATGACGCACTCCTACGGCTTTTAGGTCATTATCCATGAAGATCTGTAGCTTGTCATGTTTGATAATGACGTTGAATCCTCTTCTTGTGGACGTAGAAAGGCTATACAAATTTTTCTTTAGTTGCGGCGAGTAGAGCACATTTCTTATGTACGTATTGTACCATCCACCGTCGACGTAGGCTTGAATCTCGATGTCTCCCATGCCTTCTGCAAGTAGTGTCGAGTTGTCTCCCAAGTAGATTGGATGATCACTGGTGAACGGCGTGTAGGTCTTGAACCACTCTCGACGAAATGTCATGCTGCAGCTTGCACCGCTGTCAGCATACCAAATATCATTGGGCTCTACTTGATTATCGCACAAAATAAGTCCATAATCACTTGAACTTCCTTTTGAATCATGAAGATTTTTGGATTTATTTTTCTCATTAGCTAATCTTTTTCTACATTCGCGGCTCCAATGTCCAATTTTGTGACAATAGTGGCATTTAGTGTTCTTCTTGGCATCTTGAAAAGAACGTTGTGTATCTTTAGGCTTCGTTCGTGCTTGCCTGTGTAATAAGGCCTCATCTTGTTTAGAAGAACCGCTTTGTTGATTTCTTGTTTCTTCAATCAAAAGTCTTGCAGTTAAATTGTTAAGAGTTTGAGCTTTCGGATCTAACGATTCCCACGCTGCAACAAAGTAGCGCATACTCGAAGGCAAAGTATTTAAAATTTTTGCTACCTTTTGATCTTCCGTTATGGTTCCGCCCATTTGTGAAATTTGTGCAGAAATATTTTCAATTTTTGCTATGTAATCACTTATTGTTTCCGATGTCAATCGTGCATCGAAGAATTGTTGCCAAAGTAGGCCAATAGTAAATTCGGATTTTTGTTCATGAATAGCAAGTAATTTCTGCCACATTTGTGAAGCGGAAGTACAGTTCATCAGGGGCTGAAGAAACCTTAATTCGATTGCCTGTGATAACAACATCCTTGCCTTAACGTCCTTTGATTTCCAATTCTGTAGTGAACTTTCAGAGTTACTGTCGGAGGAAACAACATTCGGCTTTATTTCTAAGCCTTCCAATAATTCTAGTAATTTTTGTTGTTCCAAAAGAAGCCTGAATTGGAATTTCCATAGTGAAAAGTTTTCACCATTAAAAACTTTAATCCTTGAAAGACAATCTTCGCTCATCTTCTTTGTCTTGGAATCGGCCAACGACAAAAAGAAACTAGGGTTATGGTTGGCGGTTGACGCCTAAAACTTCGAGCAAAAAAAAAAGGCTTACTCACTGCTGGAGGTTAATCCTTTTAGGCGCAGTGGAAGCGTGCTGGGCCCATAACCTGTTGAAGTTTGAGATTGAATCAAGGAATAAAAAGATTATTTATTAAACAAAGTAACTTAAAACAAGATGTTAAAGTAGCAACATTTTAAAGGCAAGTAGATATAGGAAGGCGAGAGACAAACATTATATATATTGACGTCGACCGCAGCGCCGCCGCGGCCGTTGATTGGTTGATCCTCCAATGGTCCACGCCAATCTTTGGATCGCTATTCCAACAGTTTCCCACTTGGCAAATACGCAAGTAGGAAAATCAGAATGATTGTTTACAAACAATTTGTTCTCGTTAGGCTTAATTGAATATAATGTTTATACTAGTTTAAAGAAATAAGTTTACTTATCTTGGTCAGGCAATCATCCCAAGCTTTACAAATGAATTTATTTTATTTTTCTTTACATTGAATATTTAAAGAATATGATTTAAAGCCGCAGCTATGAAATGCAATGTCTTTAGTGGCGCGCGTTGGTAAGAAGAATCTTCTAGAAGGTGGCGAGCTCCCTCTGGCAGTCCGCCAGCTGGCCTCCCA